TATACAGGCAGCAAAAGCAAGACCAGGAGCTGACTGTGGCTCAGATCATGAACTCCTTATTGCCAAATTCAGACTTAAATTGAAGAAAGTAGGGAAAACCACTAGACCATTCAGGTATGACCTAAATCAAATCCCTAGTGATTATACAGCGGAAGTGACAAATATATTCAAAGGATTAGATCTGATAGAGTGCCTGAAGAACTATGGATAGAGGTTCATGACACTGTACAGGGGGCAATGATCAAGACCATCCTCAAGAAAAAGAAATGCAAAAAGGCAAAATGGTTGTCTGAGGAGGTCTTACAAATAGCTGAGAAAAGAAGCTAAGGGAAAGGAGAAAAGGAAAGATATACCCATCTGAATGGGAGTTTCAAAGAATAACAGGGAGAGATAAGAAAGCTTTCCTCAGTGATCAATGCAAAGAAATAGAGAAAAACATTAGAATGGGAAAGACTAGAGATCTTTTCAAGAAAATTAGAGATACCAAGGGAACTTTTCACGTAAAGATGGGGGCACAATAAAGGACAGAAACAGTATGGATCTAACAGAAGCAGAAGATACTAAGAAGAGGTGGCAAGAATACACAGAAGAAATATACGAAAAAGATCTTCACGACCCAGATAACCACGATGGTGTGATCACTCACCTAGAGCCAGCTATCCTTGGAATGCGAAGTCAAGTGGGCCTTAGGAAATCATCACTACAAACAAAGCTAGTGGAGGTGATGGAATTCCAGTTGAGCTTTTTCAAATCCTAAAAGATGATGCTGTGAAAGTGCTGCACTCAATATGCCAGTAAATTTGGAAAACTCAGCCATGGCCACAGGACTGGAAAAGGTCAGTTTTCATTCCAATCCCAAAGAAAGGCAATGCCAAAAAACTTTTAAACTATTGCATAATTGCACTCATCTCATATGCTAGCAAAGTAATACTCAAAATTCTCCAAGCCAGGCTTCAACAGTACATGAACTGAGAACTTCAAGATGTTCAAGCTGGATTTAGAAAAGGTAGAAGAACCAGAGATCAAATTGCCAGTATCTACTGGAGCATCAAAAAAAGCAAGAAAGTTCCAGAAAAAAAATCCTATTTCTGCTTTATTAACTACGCCAAAGCCTGTGACTGTGTGGATCACAACAAACTGTAGAAAATTTTTCAAGAGATGGGAATACAAGATCACCTTACCTTTCTCCTGAGAAATTTGTATGTAGGTCAAGAAGCAACAGTTAGAACCAGACATGGAGCAATAGACTGCTTCCATATCATGAAAGGAGTACATCAAGGGTGTATATTGTCACCCTGCTTATTTAACTTATATGCAGAGTACATCATGTGAGATCCAGGCTGGATGAAGCACAGGCTGGAATCAAGATTGCTGGGAGAAATATCAATAACCTCAGATATGCAGATGACAACACCCTTATGGCAGAAAGCAGGGAAGAACTAAAGTGCCTCTTGATGAAAATGAAAGAAGAGAGTGAAAAAGCTGGCTTAAAACTCAACATTCAGAAAACTAAGAAAATGGCATCTGGTCCCATCACTTCATGGCAAATAGATGGGAAACAATGGAAACACTGGGGTCCCAAATCACTGCAGATGGTAACTGCCACCATGAAATTAAAAGACACTTGCTCCCTGGAAGTAAAGCTATGACCAACCTTGACAGAAAATTAAAAATCAGAGTCCTTACTTTGCTGAAAAAGATCCATCTAGTCAAAGCTCTGTTTTTTCCAGTAGTCATGTATGTATGTGAGAGCTGGACTATAAAGAAAGCTGAGCGCCAAAGAATGGATGCTTCTGAACTGTGGTGTTGGAGAGTCCTTTGGACTGCAAGGAGATCAAACCAATCAATCCTAAAGGAAATCAACTCTGAATATTCATTGAAAGGACTGATGCTGAAGCTGAAACTCCAATACTTTGGCTACCTGATGGGAAGAACTGACTCACTGGAAAATACCGATGCTGGGAAAGATTGAAGGCAGGAGCAGAAGGGGATGACATGGGATAAGATGGTTGGATGGCATCATCGACTCGATGGACATGAGTTTGAGCAAGCTCTGGGAGTTGGTGATGGACAGGGAAGCCTGGCATACTGCAGTCAATAGGGTTGTGAAGAGTCGGAAATGACTGAGTAACTGAACTGAAGGCAAGAATTATTATCTCTGTCTTATGGATGAGGCTATTAATGTTTATAGTGTTAGAGAAGTGACCTAATGATACCAATGTAGCAAGTGGCCAAGTAAGAAATACCAGGTGAGATTCTAGACCTTTTTTCGTGCATCATCCCATCATTATGTAAAGTGAAAGTCGCTCAGTCATCTCCAACTCCTGGGACCCCATGGACTATACTATCCATGGAATTCTCCAGGCCAGAATACTAGAGTGGGTACCCGTTCCCTTCTCCTGGGGATCTTCCCAACCCAGGGATCAAACCCAGGTCTCCTGCATTGTAGGTGGATTCTTTACCAGTTGAGCCACAAGGGAAGTCCACCATTCACTAAAGTGGCAGTAAATCTCTACTGTGCGGCTTCAGTAAACCTGCTAATCTCTTTTAAAGTTAAGATTAAAACCTCTGCCTACTATAGGCAATACTGTGAGGACAAGTGTGTTTATCATTGTGCAAAGTGCTTAAGTCCTTGGAACACAATTACTATTTAATTTATGTACACAATTAAAAGTCTTTAAAATGTTTTCAACAACAAAAACGTCGCCATTGATACAGAAAGGTTTAAGCTGCAGCATTGTAAAAATTAAATAGTTTGTATCTCGACTTGTTTAAACTGGCTTGGACAACTAAATTTGAACTCGCTAATTACTTTTCTGTTTCAGAAACCTATGCTGTACTGCCTAGCACTTGGTTAGATTGTTTTGTAACTGCTCAGTTCACAATTTTGCCTTGTCATCCTGCTGTGGCTGCCTGAGGCATAAAGTATCATATAGTCCCCCACAAAGTATCATAGGAATAGCAGATTGTGTTATCCTAACCAACTCACAAAAATAACTTTGGGACTACAATCTAAAAGCAGTTCAACCTGGCTGGCTGTCTGCAGTAAGCCTTAGCAGTTTTGGAAAAGTAAATTTACATTTCTTGGTCTAAGAAATTGTTTCCTTCTTTCCCCCATCTCCAAAAAGAATAATTTGGACCCCATGACTTCAAACGCTGAGACCACCTCTCAGATTCTGTGTTCTCTATACAAAATGATGCCCTGAAAACGCTTCATGGTTATGCCCTGGCTATGGATTTCACTCTGGCTATGTGACTTTAGGCGAATTACATAATTCCTCTAAGCTTTAGTTTTTCCATTAATGAAATGGAGATGATAATATGATATAAACAGCACAGAGCTATAGAAATATTTAAAGGAAATAATATGTGTGGCATTCTGTATCAGTTTCCTTTTTCTCCAATTACAAATTACTATAAACTTGGTGGCCTAGAACAACATAAATGTATTATGTTACAGTTCTGAAGGTCAGAAGTCCAGAATGGGTCACAACAGGCTAAAATCAAGGTGTTGTTACTATTGTGATACTTTTTGTTGTTGTCGTTGTTGATCAATGGATAAGCCATGTAAAACTCTTGCGACCCCATGGACTGTAGCTCACCAGGCTCCTCTGTCCATGGGATTTCCAAAGGCAAGAATACTGAAGTGGGTTGCCCTTTCCTCCACCAGGGGATCTCCGTCCCCAGCCCCTGCCATCCCCCAGGGATGAAATGAATGTCTTCTGCATTGGGAGGTGGATTCTTTACCATTGAGCCACTTGGGAAGCCCTGTGTTACTCTGGAAGGTTCTGAAATCATTTTCTGCTCCTTCACATTGTTGGAAGAATTCACTTCATTGAAGTTGTGGGACTGAGATCCCTATTTCCTTGCTGACTGTCAACTGAGGATTTTCCCTTTTGATAGAGGAATCTGGAATTCCTTTGTTCATTGGCCCCCTCCCACCATCTTCAAAGTCAGCAGTCCCAGTCAGGGTCTCCCTCATGCTGGAAATCTCTCCTGCCCCTTCCTTCATTATCATACATTTCTTTCAAACACTTCTGCTGTCTTCTTCTCAAGTGCCCATCCAGAGCATCCAAGATAATCTCCCCATTTTAAGATCAAGTTGTTGGCAACCTTAATTTCACCTTTAACTTTCATTATCTTTTGTCATGTGACATAATATAATTAAACTCTCCAGAAGAAGGGCATGGACAAGTTTGTGGCCATCAATTCCACTTATTGGAAGCTTTCAGCACCATGTTCCAAGAGGCAGTAAGTACTCAGTCAATAATAACGATACCCAGTGCTTATGTTTACTCTCTGCCAGGTTCTGACCTAAGTGCTTATAGATGTTTATGGGTTTTACCCACATACCAACCCTCATAATGTGAAGTATGTGCTAACATCATCCTATTAATTAACAAATGAGGACTTGAAACACACAAAGAGTAAGTCACTTCCTTGAGCTGGTAAAAGAATACAGATTGGAACCCGACAGTCTTGCTCCAAAATCTGTACTTTTAAGTAACCCCTATTCTACCTCTTCATTTTAATTCTGTTATCACAGAAGTCAGGAAATCAAGTGAGCCTTTGCTTAAACTAATACCTGCAAAATTACTCCAATATAAGACAGCAAGATTGATATTCATCTGGCATATGCTGCCATCTTCTATTTTCTTTGCCCTGAGATGCTGGGCCACCAGGAGCTGAGAGAGGGTCTGGGTCCAGGGCCGGCATTCCTTTGTCATTCCAGTTTTGAGTCTTATCAGTCAAATGGAGAAGAAACACATTTCAAAAATACTCTATGTTGAAAGAGGTGAGGTAAATCTGTTTTTAGATTCCAAAACCTGATTAGTATCATCTCGAGAGTATTACAAACAAAAACACTGCTATTGTGGTTCCTGAACACCTCACATTTTATTGAAATGCTACTGCATTTCATTTCATGTTGAAAGCTACTTCAGCATTACTGTGGAAAGCAAGAAGCAGGTAAATCACCACATTTATGGGCAACAGAATACCTTTCATTTTCCTGAACGATCACCTCTCCTTTCTTCCAGGAGGACAGTGCCCTGGGGGAAGCTCTGGGTTTACAATCCAAGTTGACCTCACTGCCCACCTGCACCTGAATCAACTTTTTCATTGGAGTCTTTGAAAAATCTGGAGCAGAAGCTGAAAAGGAGGAAAGAATGTGAATTTGATATTTGATTTCATTTCTTTAAATTCCCATAAATTTCAAAGGTTGACTTTATAATGATTTTTTTAAAGGTTCTTGACACATGAGATATCACTACTTGATTTATTTGACTGATGGAGGACCACTTACTAGACGCTTTCAATGCTCAAAAACTAATTCCTACTATTATGTTTCCTGGCAAGTCCTAATTCTTGAGACAGTTATTTTATATGAAAATTTTAAGTTTACCATGAACTTTTAAAATAGCTCAGTCACAGATTTAATAACACTAAAAACATTTACCATAGAATGTTCTTGAAAGTTCCATGAAGACAACAGGGTCAGTCTCTCTCGTGACTTCAAAGACACAATGCCTGACAGTCAGTAGGTACTCAGCAATGTTTATTGAATAAACGCTGAGTGCTGAACACTTATTCTCTTGTAGAAACATTATCAAGATCTATTATAAACATTATTAAGATCTATTACAAAATTTTCATGTGGTTAGCTTTAACTTCAAAGTTGGAGAAGTATAACATGTATTATTACACTATGTTACAATATTCCATTAAATACTATAATATGTAGAAAATACATTTGCTAATAATGCATGGAATGCTGATCTTGAAAGAAGACCTGAACATTCAAGAGACAAAATAATGCATCATTTGAAGGAAAGTATATGTTAATCAGAAAATCATCTTTCTTTTACTGCAAATGTGGAAAAAAGTTAAGAACTCAGTGCATTTCTGTAAATATCTAATCTACTTTCCTACGGCATATCCCAGTGAATATAATTTATTCTTTAATAACTGGATATAATACAATAAATTATATGACACATATATGTGATTGCAGATAAAGAAGACATGTTATCTTAGAGGTTGCTGGCCTTAAAAATTAAGATTCTAAGAGAAAAATTTTTACTAAAACAAACCAAAAATACCTTTATATATCAGTATAATCTCTTTTCAAACATAGGTCATATTTTTTCCCATACAAAAACCCCATGCAACACTAGGCAGAGATTCATTTGGTTTAAGATGAATAAACTATGGTTTGTAAGATTAATTAAGAGTACAGCAGGCTTCAACTTCAGATATGTGCACATTTCACCTCCTTTCTGTTGTAATACCATATATCCCTGTCATGGATAACACCAGCCATATTTTCAGGTGATGATCTACTGATCCCAAGCTTTAGTCTTCTTGGTACAGATGATGTGTTTCTAACTTCCAGGCACCAAGAGACACCTGTTTTCCTTAAACCAGTGTTTTTCCATGAAACACATAACATTTAGGCTATCTTGGGCACTGAAGGACACTGAGCAGTCTCTCTGGCATCTGTCTGCAAGATGCCAGGAGCATATGCAGGCTCCATCCTTTGCTATCGTACCCTTACACTGTGGCAGCCAAAAATGTCTCCAGACATTTCCTACTATTTCCAGGGTGCAAAACTGTCCCCAGTAGGGAAGCACTGAGTTAGATCAATCAGGACTGTGACTTGCACTTAAGCAATTAAGAAAGCTATCCTTCTCTCACTAGATTGACCCTGATAATGAAAATTGAATGTGCTGGGGAGCATCATATGAGGCCTGAGAGTGGTGATGATGCTAGAACCCTGAGTCAAATCAAACATTAAATCCAAATTCTCTACTTTAATTACAATGAACAATAAATTTCCCCACTCTCCTTCTCTTTCCCTCCTTCCCACCCTCTTCCTTGCTCTTTTGCCTCCTCCTTCCCTCCTACCCTTCCTTTCTTCCTCCTCTCTTTCTTATCTATACATACTATGTTATGCTCTGACAATTTTGGTTGGACTTGAAGTCATTTGCATCTTACAGTGTCTTTTCTGGACAATGGTCCTAAACATAACATTTCCTTTCTTCTCTTATACCTGAAGTACAAGAGAAACATAATTTGTAACTTCAAGTAGTTGAGCCTCAGTTAGTTAAAGCTTTGGTGTGCCCAAAGCTTAAAGCTTCCAGCAGAAATTTTAAAGACAAAGACAACAACTCTTTTTGGATCAATAAACTATTGATTTGAATTTTGATATTTACTTTTATGGACCAGCAACTGAGAACCCCAGTCACTTATTCTCCTAAAAGGTACTACTTAGTTCATACTATTGGTGCTGGATAAGGATGCTTTACTCAACACTCTCTCCCTACTGTTTCTCTACTTCAAACTCTGGGTTTAATTCTGGCCATAATTGCTGCTTTTCCTTAGGAATTATTAAAGTGTATGCCTCGATTAAAAACTCTGCATGATTCTGCTGCGATACTGAAAATGTTATTAGATGTAGGAATCTAATATGAAAGGTAAATATTTCTGCTTCTGGCAAAAATGGAGGATTGAAGAAAAATAAATTAAGATGAGAAAGGTGGTCTTACCCATGACCTTGAGCTCAGCACTAGAATAGACGAGACCATGTTTGTTCTCTGCTATGCACTGGAACATGCCAGAATCGGTCACATTTAGGTTTGATATTGTAAGGGCACCATTTTCTATCTGTATTCTCTCCTAGACAATAATAAAAATGCATTGCATATAAATGTATATACCATTTTAGATGAAAAATGATGACCAATGAATATTATTTTAATCATGCAAAAGTGTCCTTAATTTCCCTCATGGTATTAGGCAATCTGACCTGAAATTTAAATGATTCCCTCATCTGAAATGGTGAGAGTGACTTAACATAACAGCTAGACATTGAAAATACTAATAAACATACTGCAGTCAAAAAGTATATCAATAAAATAAATAACAAAGCATAAATGGAAAATTTTGCAACTATTTCATTTTTCCCTATGGATGAAGTTGCAGACTTTAAGCAATGTACCAGGCTTTCCATCCCATGAACTGGAAAGGTTTTCACCAGTTTTTAAAATCATGCAAATTGAAGATATAATAAATTCTGTGTATTAAAAAGGGTGCTGGGAAACACATATCTATTTAAGGTTTGTAGGTATTATGAATGGTTATGTGGAAAAATTTGAAGGAGCATAAGTGAATTAGTACAACAATTTTTAAAAAGAGCAAAAATTATATGGCTTGAGAAGTGATTGAGAAAATACTCATGTAACAAGATAATGATATAATTGATACATTTATTCTCCAAAGGCCATCCATGTTATCAAACAGGAAAAATGGAAATTACATTCTACATATGATTAAAATAAAGCCTTCTCTAATTTCAAAATGGAAAAAAAAAATAGTGCAGTGGACCCTTGAACAACAAAGTTTGAACTATGGGGGTCCACTTATTTGCATGCTTTTTCATTGAAAATTGTAAATACTACAGGACTTCACAGTCCCTGGTTGGTTGCATCCATGGATCAGGGACACAGAGAACTGACTATAAATTACAGAAGAGCTAACACTTGCATTGTTCATAGGTTGACTTTATATCATGAACTAAATTCAAAAAATAACCTTTCTCCAATGAAATTCAATACTGAAAATATTTCCTTCTTGGAAGACTGGGTACTTGATTGTATCCTTTTCTCCCTTGCACCATTTCTTAGATGAGTGTGATAAAAACTCTTCAGATGAATGTGTGCAAACTCACCAGTTTACTCTGGCAGTTGGTACCAGAAAAGGCATTTATACAAAGTGGGAAAAAGGCGTATTAACCAGGCACATGACCTTACCTCAAGCACAAGGGCTTCTCCATTTTTCAACCATCGGTAGGAGGGTTTGGGCTTACCACTGGCCCGACATTCCCAGTAAAGACTGTCCTCCACTGCTAATTCTACATCTTTTATGAGTTGAACCCAATGAGGCTTTGCTGTAATGAAAAAAAATTCAAACCACTCCACAATAAAAAACAAATACTTTATCCACAAAAATATATGTGGATATGACTTTGGGCAATAATAGATTAATGTAAGCTAATGTAATGTAAGTGGCTAAAATTGTATTTAATTCACTAGGTATTTACTAAGTGGGTATGTGAAATATTTCTAGATTTGAGAATGGATGTTACAACCTGCCCTTTCCTAAGTCAAACTCATTATGCTTTCTCTGTTTTCAAAATTCTGGGCACTGTATTACATTCTTCAGATACCAGCAGAAAAATGCAGGTACACAAAATATATAGATTTTCTTGTCCAAGTACATTTTTGAATTATGAGATCACAACTGATGACAACTTAATATGTGAATGACAGCAGATACCAGTCATAATTATGCACTAAAAATCAGTACCAATAGAAGAGAAACTTGTACAGCAGAAGAAAAAAAAATATTTCCTTCAAGTTAGAAATAACTCTTAATTAAATACAAACCAGTGAACATCTTATGAACCTCTGTGCAAATTAAAATGAAAGCAGGGAAAGATGGATAAATTCGTTCAATTTGAATAAAATGATTTTTTATGAAAAAGAAGTAACTCATGCAACCTTAAATTATGTATGCAAATCAGTTGCATCAAGTGGATTTATCATTTTTACTTACATTTTAGAAGACACTTGGGAAATCCTTTTACAGATGAAAGCAACATACCACTCACAATGAAAGTCACTCAACATTCAAAGTATATTCAGCCAAATCTCAGTCTGTGTTTTAGATCTGAGACTAGGAGGTGAGATGTCTTCCCAGTTTCACATTGCATTATACATGTGATGTGTACTTCGGGGTTCACATTTGCATCCTCCATATGAAGAAAGATTTTATCTATTTCTATTTAATTTCAACCATGGGAAGATTTGTCTTTCTGTTTATATCTCATAAAATTGCCTTTTTTGTAAGTGAAACTGAAACTATAGCTATTCAGCTTTTAGAGAAAATGTACCCATCAAAGTTTTACCTTATTTTGTCTTTTTATAAAATATAAACAGCTTGCACAATCTGAAGTATAATTCTGTCCCAAATCACTCCTCTCTACTCTATATTGAAACACACTGTCTTCTTTCAGGAATTAATCAGCCTAGGTGGGATGAGACTACAATAGACTCACATATGATCCCTTGACTGAGGCTCAAGTTTCTAGCAAAAATTTCCACTGGCTTCTCATACTACTGTTCTCCAAATGGAAAGATAATTTGCTGGACTAAGCGAATCCTAAGATTGCAATTGCCACATAATGTGATTTATCCCCTTATTCCATCATATGAGATTCAAATATTCTACTGGACCATTTTTTACATTAAATATCAGAGCAGATAATCAGAGAACTGCAAGGCATTTATTGAATATACTAGACTTCAGACAGAATCTTAAAGTAACTTTCATGAAACTCTCTAGCTGATTTCTGATTTCTTTTCTTTAATTGAGATTTTTTTTTTCATTTTATTTTTTGGCTGCACTGTACTGCATATGGTATCTTAGTTTTCTGATGAGGGATCAAACCTGTGACCCCTGCAATGAGAGTGCAGAGCCCTAACCACTGGACCGCCAGGGAGTTCCCTCTATTTCTTAGGTACATATAAAAATGGACTAAAGTAACCATCTGCCTCATTTACTAAGTATAGTGGATGATGCTTGTTGTCTATTGTGTATCCATTTTCTCTCTTCTTTATTTCTAAGATGCCCTAATTTTTTATTGAACTATCTTCTCTTCTAAAAAATCCAGGGAAACCTGACCATATTCTGTGTTCCAAAAAAGGTTCGTAAGTTGTTTAAGCCAATTCACCTTGTTAGTGATTGGTTTAGGAATGAACACGCGGCTAATGAGATCTGAGAAGTGAACTGCAAGATGCTTTAGAGAAAGGAAGCATGGACAAGAACTAATGGGCTGGTCACTGCTGGCAGCCATTCTATGACTATCAGGGAAAACGACAAGCAGAGAAGGGAAAAGGTAAAGGCAGAAAGAAACGTCACAGAGAAACTGAGCCAGGGCCTGATTATAAGGCACTTAAATGTCAACTTAGCTTTGAATGTCTTGCCAAACAAGCAAACAAGGGTTTATTATTGGTGCAGGGCTGCCGTTCCATAGAGCTAAAAACATTCCTACTGAAACATCAAGACAGTTGGAATATCTTGTATTTTCCTGTCATGGTCACTTCTTACCCTGGGTCAGGTACTAGCTGTTTAGAAAGGAGAAAATAAGCTTGGACTTGTTTGTGGTTGACTTAGAGTCATATAACCACATGGTTTAGGTGTCCCCAACACATATCCATATCTTACCACTAGTATGTAGAACACGGCATCTGGGAAACTGCAACTTGGGGCTATGTATTCTAACCAAATCTCATAAGAAGAAGGAAGAATTACAACACAGAATGGCTCATGCTATCAATCCACACCTCCATTCTGTTCCTGGAAGATCCTATAAACTCACAACAAAACAAATGTCAGGCTAATCAGACGTAATGCACTTGCAAACTCCACATTCTTTTGAAGAGGGTTTACTTGTCTTTATACTTGTCTGCAACATTTTTCCTCTCTGCAACATATATGTACACTATACAAGTTTGCACTGCAAATTATTTCAATTTTCAGTTTTTAAAATAAATAGAATATATTGTCATTTGCCATTCACAAGTGATCAATTCTCATTCGTTTTACAATGTTTTTAATGGTTCAACTGCAAAAATACATTCACTGAGTTTACATCTTCACATATTTTATAGTACATTTTAACAAATGATTTATTTCTACTTTCTAAATCATACTTTCATAAAAATATTTAATATTATTTTTTAATAAAAAGTGATTTGAAAACAAGTTTGGACAAAAGAGATAATCTAATTATCCTAAGACCCTGATGCTGGGAAAGATTGAAGGCAGGAGGAGAAGGGGACGACAGAGGATGAGATGGTTGGATGGCATCACCCACTCAATGGGCATGAATTTGAGTTAACCCGGGAGTTGGTGATGGACAGGGAGGGCTGGCATGCTGCAGTCCATGGGGCCGCAAAGAGTCGGACATGACTGAGTAACTGAACTGAACTGAATTTTCCTAAAAATAGACTCTAAACAAAGGTAATATTAACCTTTCTTACCCAAATTTAACAGTACATAAAATAAATGTGACTACATATTAAAGGCAGCAAACATGGTACATTTTTATTACTGGAAAGCATAGAATAACACTGAAGAGGTCAAGCGAGCCTGAGTTTATGTGGTTGGACTAATGCAGTAATTGCAAGTTTCCCCAGCAGACAGTTTCTTTCTGCTTAGTAAAGATCACAGAGAAAGATATAAAATCCCATTTTCTAGAGGTAATAAGCAGACAGAAAGGAGATCTCTCCTTGATTCCGTTAAGTAAGTAAATTGTTATTCTAAACCACCCCCCCCAAAAAAGTGAGTATTTCATTATCATATGAATCAGTTTAAAATGCAGCAAGAATATATATGTCTCCAACTTCATTGCAAAATTTTCTTTCTTTTTAATTCCTTTTATGTTAAATATTTATCCTCATTTAATGAAGTGTAGAACAGAACAAGCTGGACATTGGGATACCTCTAAAATCTCCTACCCAGCCTCCAATCCCAATACCAATAATTTATAGAGAGAGCAAAAGGTAAAAATCCAATATGCCAAAAGTGAAGGCTTACCATAGTAAGTGAGACGTCCCCTGGCGACATTTTTCCCTCGTGAATTCTCAGCAATGCATTCATAGGAACCTGAATCTTCCTGTTGGAAGTTGGGAATTTCAAGCACACCACTGAACTTCCTTAATTTAATTTTACTGGAAAAAGGCAGTCCATCACTTCTTCTCCAATTAATCTGAGGTACAGGACTATGAAGAAATTTATCAAGTTATTTGCTATTTTAAGCAGATGCCTGGAAGCCTTTTAGGCTTGACAAAATAAAACTTTTGTTAGGATAGAATAAAAATGGCACAGATTTTTCAAATGCAGAAACAGTCAGCTGTCAATTACATAAACCTGCAAATGCAAAGATTTATCTCTTTAACGATATTTTAATAAAATAAACTGCACTTTCTTGAGTTAATTCATAATTTAGAGAAAATGCACACCCACAGTATTATAATACAACAAATGAACAAGCAAAAGAAAAATAACACTAATCTAGTTTATGAAATTAGGCAGGCATAGTCATATACTGCAAATTGCCTTTAAAATTTCAAACTAAATTATATATGTGAATTTACCCTCTATTTTATTTTTCCTTTGCTTCTAAATGAAAGAAATTTTTAGAAAATAAGGAAAAGGAGAGTCTGTCAAAAGCTATCTTGATCTCTCACAGCAACCAAATGTTTCCACATATCGGTGTAAATGTTATAAAACTTACTTTCCAAGGGCAAAACATTCCAATTTCACAGTGGAACCTTTAGCTGCTGGAAGAGTTTCAGGAAACTGAACTTCTATTTTCGGCTCATATTCACCCATCACACCTGTAAATGCACAATATGTTAATAATAACAATAAACTAATGGTTTCAATGTTTCCTTCGGAATTCTCCCATTTTTCTTAAATAAAATTTTTTTGCTCTATTTTGAAGTAATTCTTCCTAATGATTTAAATTACTGACTTGCCATCTGGTAGGTACTTTTAGAAGCAGTGTTACCTTGGGCTAAATATGCAATATCATTAAACATGTGGAAACTTTGGATTCCATGATTCATAAGTTATAGCTTACAGAGGAGTTTCAAGAAAAATACTAGACCTTTTTTACATTATATAAAATGGGAGACTTTTTTATTCTGTATTCAATTTGGAAATTTCTAGTCAAACTTAAATATACAATATATTAGGACTTCTTAAAATATCCTAAAGAGCAAAAATTATGAGAGGAAATTTACTTAATGGTACCCTGGTAGCATAGACACCAACCTTAAACTTATTAAATAGCTCCCTGAAGACAAGAAATGGTAATGTAATAAACAAGAAAGGTCAAATTCAATTATACCTAAGTGGAAAGAAGTACTTAGATACTTAGTGTTCATGGCATTGTGCTGTATCAGATATTGTTTTGTGTAAGTGGGACAGTTACCCAGGCTTATAAATCTGCTTTGCAGTTCATGGGCTCCCTTGAAAAAGTCACTGAGTGGCTAAAGAAACATATATTTTCCTTTTTTCCCCTCCAGTTTTAGTGAGGTATGACTGACAAAAACTGTGTAATTTTTTTAGGGTGTACAATGTGATGAGTTCATACATGTATACATTGTGAAATAATTACACCAGTCAAGTTAACATATTTAACACCTAACATAGTTGCTAGTTTCAATTTTTTTAAATAACTTTTTTTTTTCTCTAGTGAAAACACTTAAGATTTACTCTCTAAGCCAATTTCAAGTATGCAACACAGCATTACTATAATCACTATGCTGGTAGGGGTAGGGGAAATGAGGTGATGTTGGTCAGAGTGTACAAACTTTTAATTATAAGATGAGTAAGTTCTAGGGATCTAATGTACACTTTTTTTCCCTTTAATTTTATTTATAGATGCTTTTTAACCTATAACAAAATATCTAGAACTTTTAATAATCTCAGGTTGGCAAAACTCAAGACGGGTGACGTCATGAGAATACAAGGTGACACCCAGGCTCGAAGGGTTCATATTTGGTTTAAAGGCATAGTGCCACCATCTTGAAATTCCTGAACAATGTTTAACAAGCAATTCTTCATTTTCACTCAGTACTGGTCCCTGCAAATTAGGAAGCCAGTTCTGAGTAAGAATTACATTACAGGGACTTATGGTTGATGGAATCATTTTAGCCACTGTACTCATAAATATTTTTTGTTCTGAAAAAAGAAAAACCAAAATGATTCTGCAGGATATACTTTTCACTTCTAATTTGTTTTGTCTTGTATTCACAACATTTCCACTTAGAATTGCCCTTTGAAATATTTCCTACCGTCAGAACGAAGCACCAAAGGAGTTGGGGAACCCAGCACTCGGGCATTTGTCACTATACTAGTCACCACACACGTATAATTGCCCACGTCAGATGGTTCCACTTTGGCTATGTAGAGGTGGCCTGTCTCTTGAGAGACAAATCTCCGACTATCTTCTTCGACAAATGATGGATATTCATTGAAGATCCAAGCATATGACAGTTCTAGTAAAATTTTTAGAGAAAAGAAATTCCATCATGAAGGTAAATTTTCTACAATATATTAAATATATCTGAAATCACCTTTACTGCAAAGCAACACTTAGTGTTTTCTTGCAGGTCATGGAGAGAAACAATTACGTGACATGATGCTGTGTTCATCCTGCATTCGAGGGAGGTCACTGTGGATCAGCATGCTTGTGGGAGCAATATTATCACTGTCATCATTATCACTACTCTAGATACCTCCTAACACGTTTCTCTGGCTTGTCTTGCTCCCTTTTAATTTGTGTCTCCACACTACATGGTCTATGATCTCTCAAAATTATCAATCTCATCGTGCCACCTCCTGCTATAACACTTTCGGCAATTACTCGGTAGTCTTTGGAATAATGAAAAATTGCTTAACTTGAAAATGAGACTATGCATGATTAAGCCCCTACTTATTTCCTTAGAAACTGAGAGGCCAGTTACTGTCTCTTGTTTGTGGATTTTTACTTTATATATGTTGCTCTCAGAGGCTGTGCTATCCTTCTGCTCCCCTTGCAACACCAAAGCTCATTCTGTCGAAATAACTTATAACTATTTTTCAAAGATTGGTTCCACTCATGAATCACCTACACAGAGAAGCCCCCCTTATCTCTCATTCTCTGAGTATGTGCTTGTATACAGAGCAGCTCTATGCTGATATTACTTAAATTACTTGCCACTTTTATATAACAATCTATTTACTTATCTGTCCTCCCACCACTTGGTAAACAAAAAGAGATGTCAATCTTTATCCTGCTTGCCTTCCTCGTCTAAAATTAGCAAATGGAAACATCTGAAAACTTCTGTCCTCAATAAATATTTATTGAGTTAATTAAGATAAAACTATGTTACTAATGTCTAAATCAAGTCCAACATTAGAGTTTTCCTGAACTTTGGGTACAAGGTAAACTAACTCTCCCTAAAGTAAGAGGGAGAGTTCTTGTTCTTGTTCTCCTTCCTCTGTGATAATGAGAGCTAAATATTATGCTGCTTTATTCTAGATGCTCATATTTTTCAGAAGCAAGTCATTATGTAAGTATAGTTATTGTAGTTGGCTTATTTAATTCTTTCTTTCTGTGGCTGTATTTTCCTTTACAATTTCACTAACCTTATAGCACTGGTTCATACTGTAATGCTTTTCCAAAAGGATCTTTAAAAACCAGATGCAATAAAAATCAATTTTAATGAATAACAAACTCAAAAAAATGCATTTAAGGCATAATCCAATGGTGTAGGGTCTTTCCACTTGTCAGAGAGAGACAATTAGTCATTACACAAATAACAATGACACAATGTCGGTGGGTGGGAGCTACTATGGGTGTCAGAGGAAGGAGAGATGACATTCTTATAAGTGAAGAACAGGTCTTCAAAAACAGGAGAACATTCTGACATGAAGGGATAAAAGTGCTCCTGAGGGAGGGAAAAGAGCATGTAAAAGGGGAACAGGGTGAAGAGCCAGCACCCGGTGAAAATGAAAAATGACTGTCTCTCTTCTACCTTCAAAGCAGCTGGGAATGCTGGATGATTCTAAAGCTTAGCAAGTCAGTGTCATACTGTGCAGATGTTCAGAAGCATTGATTTGTAATCCTGAACTGAGATTTACATCAGGCTATTATATCAGCAGAGTGTTTCATGACATTCTACTCAGTCATGTGATTTGTCTGTTAAATTGTATGAAAACAAAATGTATCTCCAGCATCCACTCCTCAGTTGGTCTCTTGCCTATCCTGATGGTGCTTTCTTTTGCACTATTACTAAATAAACTACAGAGCTAAAGAATGTTGGTTTCCCTAATGGCTCAGTGGGTAAAGAATCCACTGCAATGCAGGAGATCTGGGTTCAGTCCCTGGGTTGGGAAGATCCCCTGGGGAAGGGAATGGCAACCCACTCCAGTATTCTTGCCTGGAGAATCCCATGAAGAGAGGAGCCTGGCGGGCTACAGACCATGGGGGCTCAAAGAGTCAGGACATGACAGAATGACAATGCAGGCTTTCTTTGTTTCAAAGAAAGCAAAGCAAAGCAATTTTATTCTGCTTTTTGAAATGTTTTATTCATGAAATTAATATGATTGTACCTCTCTCTTTAATCCAGGGAGAGTAAAACTTCTACTGCTCCCTAACAGAACAGGCTGCTTCCCGCTAACGAAGTTCCCCTAGGGTGTTAATGCCGCTATTCCTGCAGGATTCCTCACAAGGGCAACTAAGGCTTGAGGACTCCCCACCAGAATGGCCACAGTGTTTTCAGAACTGTGCTCCGGCATTCTGCCTGCCCAAGTTTCCCTCCCCTATCTTTGCTCAAAGCTTTCAGAGCTGAATCTCAGTCTGAATCTCCCTTGACCCGTTGCTGCTCCCTTCCTCCTCATCCTTCACAGGCACTTTTTCTGTTTTGTTTGCTTGTTTATGTGTGTGTTTTTTAATGCCTGATTCTCTGATCCCGTCTTGTAGTCTGTTTCTTAGGAAACCTGAACTCACATGGTGCTACTGAAATTGAGCAACACACTATCTTCCTTCCTTGAGGGGTATTTAAAAATTGCCCCTCCCATTAGACCTGGAGGAAACATTTCCTTTCACTCACTTTCTTTCAGGCAACTGTCCCTCTCCACAACTTCCATCAACAGAGTCCTGCTCCTCATCCCCCAAGCTCTTCAAATATACAAATTGATCCTTGGTTTATTCTTAGTGGCTCAGCTGGGAAAAAAATCCACCTGCAATGTGGGAGACTGGGTTTGACCCCTGGGTTGGGAAGATCCCCTGGAGAAGGGAAAGGATACCCACTCCAGTATTCTGGCCTGGGGAATTCCAAGGAGTGTATAGTCCATGGGGTTGCAAAGAGTCTGACACAACTGAGTGACTTTCTCTTTCACTTTTTCACTTTTATTCTTAGTACCTGTCCTCTAGAGAAGTCCAGACAAGTCAGTATCCCAGAATCAGTGTAAACCTATCTTGATACCTAACTCATGCCCCCTCAAAGAAGAAAAAATTTCACCATTTATGCAATCTTTCTGGGCTTAGTTACTGATTTCTTGTTGTTTAGTCACTAGGCTGTGTCTAATTCTTTGCAACCCCATGGACTGCATAATGCCAGGCTCCTCTGTCCTCCACGGTCTCCCTGAGTTTGCTCAAATTCATGTCCATTGATGCTTTCTAACCATCTCATTCCATGCTGCACCCTTTTCCATTTGCCTTCAATCTTTCCCAGAATCAGGGTCTGTTCCAATGAGTCAGCTCTTCACATCAGGTGGCCAAAGTACTGGAGTTTCAACTTTAGCAACAGTCATTCTAATGAATAGTCAGGGTTGATTTCCTTTAGAATTGACTGGTTTGATCTCCCTGCTGTAGAAGGGACTCTCTAGAGTCTTCCTTCTCCAGGACCACAGTTTGAAAGCATGGGTTCTCTGGCTCTCAGCCTTCTTTAAGGTCCAACTGTCACACATGTACATGATTACTAGAAAAACCATAGCTTTGATTATACGGGCCTTTGTTGGCAAACTGATACCTCAGGCTTTTAATACACTGTCTAACTTTGTCATAGCTTTCCTTCCAAGGAGCAAGTGTCTTAATTTCATGGCTGCAGTCACTGTCCGCAATGATTTTGGAGCACAAGAAAATAAAACCTGTCACTGATTCCACTTTTGTCCTTCTAGTTGCCATGAAGTGATGGGACCAGATGTCATGATCTTAGGTTTCTGAATGATGAGTTTTAAGCCAGCCTTTTCACTTTCATCAAGAGGCTCATTAGTTCCTTTTCACTTTCTGCCATTAGAATGGTATCATCTGCATATTTGTGGTTGTTGATATTTCTCCCAGAAATCTTGATTTCAGCTATCGGTTCATCTAGCCTGGCATTTCACATGATGTACTCTGCACGTTTAAATAGGCAGGACGACAACATACAGCCGTGATGTACTCCTTTTCCAATTTGGAACCAGTCTGTTGTTCCATGTCCGGTTCTAACTGTTCCTTCTTGACCTGCATGCAGGTTTCTAAGGAGACAGGTAATGTGGTCTGGTACTCCCACCTCGTTAAGAATTTTCTACAATTTGTTGTGATCCACACAGTCAAAGGCTTTAGCATATTCAGTGAAGCAAAAGTAGACGTTTTTCTGGAATCCTCTTGCTTTTTTGATGATTCAATGGATGTTGGTTCATCTGCCTCTTTGAAACACAGCTTGTACACTGGAATTTCTTGGTTCACACTCTGTGGAAGACTAGCTTGAAGGCTTTTGAGTATAACCTTGCCAGCATGTGGAATGAGTGCAATTGTATGGTAGTCTGAACACTCTGGCATTGCTTTCTTTGGGATTGGAATGAAAACTGACTTTTTCCAGTCCTGTGGCCACTGCTGAGTTTTCCAGATTTGCTGGCATATTGAGTGCAGCACTTTCACAGCATCATCTTTTAGGATCTTAAGTAGCTCAGCTGGAATTACATCACCTCCACTAGCTATGTTTGTAGAAATGTTTCCTAAGGCCCACTTGACTTCATACTCCAGGATGTCTGGCTCGAGGTGAGTGACCAAACCATCTTGATTATCTGCGTCATTAATACCTTTCTTGTATAGCTCTTCTGTGTATTCTTGCCTAGTTTTCTTAATCTCTTCTGCTTCTGCTAGGTCCTTACAATTTGTCTTTTATTGTGCCCACCTTTGCATGAAATGTTTCCTTGATATCTCCAGTGTTCCTGATGAAATTTCTATAGACTTTCCCATTCTACTGCTTTCCTCTATTTCTTTGCACTGTTCATTGAAGAAGGCCTTCTTGTCTCTCCTTGCTGTCCTCTGGAGCTCTGTATTCAGCTGCATATATCATTCCCTTTCTCCCTTGCTTTGTAGTCTCTCCTCTCCTCATCTATTTGTAAAACCTCCTCAGACAACCACTTTGGCTTCTTGCGGTTCTTTTTCATTGGGATGGTTTTGGTCACTGTCTCCTGTACAATGTTACAAACCTTCGTTCATAGTTCTTCAGGAACTCTGTCTCCC